CCCTGAAAACGAGGTCTTTGCTTGCAGAAACAGACAAAAACATTAGAGCGAAGTGTTTAATGTGTTGTAGTCAGCCTACTTTCAGTGTGAATCACAGCTGCAAACGGACTTTTTCACTTTTATCCAGCAGGAAAAGCTCAGGTTTAACTGTCAGGACCTCTGTTCTGTGCATGATGGCTCGTTTTGCTCGCTTATTGGAAAAATTAAGAGAATTAAGGCTTTGCTCACAAAATTGAGCTCATCTACTTTTCTCGCTGATTCATTTTGTTTGACTGATTTACACATTTAAGCCAGTTTATTCCACATTTGTTTACAGTGAGCATGACGCATGACGTTGCTCTTCTGGCTGCACCCAGCTAGTGATGTCACAGTGGGTGTTGTGTTTTTGACAGCTGATGGGAAACACCTTTCGGTGACACCACTCACTGGGTGGAGGCTGGACACTAATAGCTGCACACAAACTGACGAAGGCCGTTCCTGTTTCAGGTGTTGGTTTTCGGCAGACACCAAGCAGGAGAGGTTGGACTGGATGGAGAAGCTCAACCAGGCTCTTTTGGACTTTCAGACGTGGAATCGAACCCAAACAGAGAGTCCGCAGGCAAACACGTCCAGCAGTGGGAACCTGAGGGAGAGTATACTGTAACACATCACTAAGACACCTGCTGGGATGTGCTTCAGGGTTTACTCTTCATCTCAGAGTGTTTGCCTCTCTGATTTATCTTTGGGAGATTTTTTTTTTCCTTGTGTTTCTTTTTAACCTGAATCCAAACACTTTTGTTTGGTTCCCCTTTTGGTTCCCAAGTCACAGCTGTCTGAGTATTTACGTTTTATATATATATATATCTATGTTTTTGTGGCAATCAGCTGCTTCAGCCTCTGCTGGCAATAATATAGGGCACTTTCAGTATCTGAGATGACTCTTGCCTTATACCCTCATATATGTTTCTGCTATAATTTGCATTTATTTGGATTCAGATTGTATTTTTTTGTATCATTTAAATGGGAAGGCTAAAATTTATATAGAGACACTAATAAATATATACAGGTATAAATCTTTAACTGTAGTAATCTGGGATTTCGTGTTTGAAATGGACAGAAACACTAATAATTAAAACTGTAGGATTAATTTTGGCTGGTGTTGAATGGGAGTAAGTAATGTAAAATCTATTCTCGGCAGGCGTTCAGACCTCTCTACTGACAGATAATCATCTTGGGATTTTTCCAAAGAATTTGTGGAATTCTATGGAAAATCTACAGGAGGTGAAGTCTGTATATAATTAGTTTTAATATGATGTCATGCTGAAAACCAGGGATGCACCAATATATATCATAATCAATCAAATCTGTATTGGTCTTGTTCAAATATATCAGCCAATCTGCCTTTTTGTAATAGCAGTAGCTGTTGTTTACCCTCCATATATCCATATGTGTGGATACAGCATGCATGCATTTATCCTCCTGACACACAAGAGGGAATAAATTAAATGAATCTAAATGATAAAATGTGTATAAATACCCTGAATGTCATCAGTTATCAGCCATGAAACTGCTAGTCAGTGCATCTCTGACACTTTTAGAAATAAAACAATCTTCTGCATTACAAGTGGAGATAAATAAAATCATATTTTACGTGTATTTCAGCTGGGGAGGCCTCTGACACGCTGCTGCAATGAATGCTGTCTGCCTGATGTTCTGCTATTGTCCATCTCTGTCACTTTATTCTAAATGTTGATGATGTGAACTCTCATTCTATGCACTTAATGGAAGCCAAACGGTAAAATAAATGAAGTATAACTGCTACAAAAGTGTTCTGACTGATGGGTTTAAATGATACAGACTGGGATTTTTAAACAAATGACCAATTATTAACAATAAACACCATTTTTCCTACTAATGCAAAAAAATATTTGAAAGCCTGTGCACAGATCCCCAAATGTTTTACTACAATTACTCGCCTGCTCATGT